CACCAGCCCCTCCTCGGAAGGAAGGTTGGGCAATCTACTTCCATAGTAATACTGCCTCGGAAACCCATGGAGGGGTTGCTGTGAGTTGGATATGACTTGGCAGTGAGTTTAATGTATGTGTGTGTGTGTGTGTACATATACACACGTGTGTGTATGTATGTATATGTACATGTGTATGTGTGTACATATATATGCTCTGTAGGAGGAAGATGAGGCACTCTGCTTCCGTAAAGATTTACAGCCTTGGAAACTGAATGGGGGTCACTATGAGTCAGAATTGACCTGATGGCAGTGGATTTGGTTTTATATGTATATGTAACACATATACATACACATGAATATATGTTTTATATGTGTGTGTATGTATATATACATGTATATACATGTATATCCATATATATCTATAAGGAGCTCTTGTGGTGCAGTGCCTAAGGTGGCTGGCGGTTCAAACCCAGCAGCCATTCCATGAAAGGAAGGTGGGGCTTATAATCTACTTCTGTAAAGATTTACTGCCTTGGAAACCCAATGGGGGTTGCTGTGAGTTGGAATCAACTCAATGGCAGTGAGTTTGGTTTTTTATACATATATATACATGTATACATATGCATGCATATATGTATATGTGAGTATATACATGTGTATATACGTATATACATGTAAGTACATATCTGTAGCCAGATCCACTGCTGTTAAGTCCATTCTGACTCATAGTGACTCCCATTCAGTTTCCAAGGCTGTAAATCTTGATGGGAGCAGACTGCTTTATCTTCCCCCATTGGAGCAGCTGGTGGGTTTGAGCTGCCGAACTTCTGGTTAGCAGCCAAATGCCTTATCACTATGCTACCAGAGTTCTTTTATATCTGGATGTGTGTGTGCATATATATTCCTTAGATATATATACTTACATATGTACTTAAGGAGCTCTGGTGGTATCGTGGTTAAGGCATTTGGATGCTAACTAAAAGGTTGTTGGTTCAAACCCACCAGCTGCTCCTCAGAAGAAAGATGAGGCAGTCTGCTTTTGTAAATATTTACAGCCTTGGAAACCCAATGGAGGTTGCTATGAGTCGGAATTGATTCGATGGCAGTGAGTTTTTTAATATACGTATGTATGTGTATATATGTATATGTATGTATATATCCTTGTAGCTATATATTATAGAAAATACAGAACAAAACAAAGAAAATCATCCAATTTTTAACATTTTAGTGTCTATTCTTTCAGGCTTTCTTTTTGTGCATATGTATATGTGTGTAAAACACACACACAAAATTGGGACTATATCCCATTTGCTCCAGAGCATCCCATTGGAGTGTTGGAGACTGTCATATCACTCTTTCAGGATTATCCTGTCCACTAGTGTCTTATCTTTCACAGATAATAAGCCTTTTACACTCCTTAAAAAAAAATTAGGACTACACTGTACGTAATTACTTGTATATTGCTTTTTTAGTCATTACATTGTGAATATAATCCCATCATTTTTCTTCAGTATGATTTTTAATTTCTAAATAATATTCCATGGTATGGTTTATTCATTTTTGTTTTCAGTTTTTGCTATTACAGATAATTCTCTAATTATTTTTCCTGTAATTATTTTTGTATTTTTGTGATTATTTTCTTAGAATAAATTTCCAAAAATGGATTTGCTCATTAAATCACATAAAATTATTGGGACTTTTGATGCATGTTCCTTAAATGTTCGCCAAAAACATTTTTACGTTCCCACCAGGTTTATGTGAAAGTTCTCATCTCCCCAAACACTTGCTGATACTAACTTGCATGGATTTTGTGTTTTTTGGAATTCCTGAGGTATTTGTGTCCTATTTATCTTTTCAGTCAGTAATCAGGAGTGGCTTCCTCAGGGAGGTCTTCCCTGATCCCTTGAATAGATTAAGTCAACCAGTTCTTACTGTTATATGACACTCATTACACTTAAAGTTACTTTAATATCTGTCTTCCTGACCACCTTTAAGCACCATGAGGTCAAGGACCATGTCTGTATATCTGGTCCACCACTGTATTCCCAGTGCCTGTTGCAGTACTTGGCACACTGGCTCTCATGGTAAGAGCTTTTTTAATATACTGCAAATGGAAGGTGAACTCAGCTCTTTTTTAAAAAAAAAACACAAAAAATCCACTGCCACCAAGTTGATTCTGACTCATAGCAACGCCTGTTGGGTTTTTGAGGCAGTAAATTTTTGCAGAAGTAGATTGCCTAGTCTTGCTTCCACAGAGTGGCTGGTGGATTTGAACTACCAGCCTTCTGGTTAGCAGTCAGATGCCTTAAGCATCGTGCTACCAAAGCTCCAAACTCAGCTCTAGTTGTGGCTAAAGGCTTATAAGCAGACATTTGTAATGTAGTGTGGAAGAAGAATGATAGATGCCTGTCTTTCATTCCTCTGTTATGTCACCACGAGTAAACCAAAAATGAGAGAAGAACATAAAGTCTTTATTTTTATTCCAGTCATTATTACCAAAGTAGTGCTGAACTTAATACTTGTGGAAAGTTTAAAAAATATGATTAAACAAGAAATAGAAAATAGTTCACTCAGAATCCCATGCTGAAGAGATAACCACTATTGACATGTTGGTGAATATATTTAAATCTTTTTTTGGTATCGTACTATATATAAATGCTCTAATGTGCTTCTCTTGACTAGTGTCATATCATGACATTTCCCCATGGCATTAAACATTGTTCTTCATAATGTTTAATGACTTTCATTGTCATTTATGTAACATAATTTATTTAATAATCCTCAGACTTCTGGGTCATTTCCAAATTTTAGATATAATTAGCACTACGATGAAAATCCTTATAGAGAAGTCTGTGCCATTTCATGAGTATTTTATTAGGACAAGTTCTTAGAGGTGGAATTACTGGGTCAGATGGTATATACATTTTTAAGACTTTTGATGTTACTATTCAGTTGCAGTTCCCCCAGTAATGAGTAAGCACACCCATCTTCCCATCTATCAATGCTGACTATTAAGTATAGGTCACTTTTAGTATTACTGTGAGAGTCAGACTATTGGTGTTTTTTTTTTTTTTAAGGTTTTTTTTCATTTAAAAAAATGTTATAGTGCTAATTAGAAGGAAGGTAGTTTATTTTTAAAGTCTTTCTTTTTAGGAAGGGAAATGGTTAATTGGCAAAACTAGGTGCACATTTATGTCTTAGAAACACCATAGCCATGAAAATAATTTTAATAGAAAATTGGCAGAATATATGGTTTGGTTTTTAAAAGAGCAGATGGGATGTCAGCAGCTGTTGTTCGTGTATTTAGACCTGCATCCTTTCCATGATGGAAGATTTTTTTGAAAAATCATGTAGCCATATTTGGAATCAGAGCAAAATGTACTGGCTGACGGCTTTACCTTGCTGTGTTAGAACCTGCTTTAGTTACTTTTTTAGATGAACACCAAGCTGCCAGATACATTACTCTATCTAAAGAATCCTGGGGGAAATAGAAATGCCCTTCATCCAAGAGGACTTTTGTTCCTCAATGCTGTAGTTAGAAGTGAGGAAAGTGGTGCCTGCATGCTCATGCAAAACCTTATCTGCATTCTACACACTGAGAATACTTTGTCTTATAATGTCCTCTTTGCCATCTCTTAGGATATCAGTGCAATGGAGGAAGAAAAGGATCAGCTCATTAAGAGAGTTGAACGTTTGAAGAAAAGGGTAAGGCAAAAAGGAACACTGTTAAGACTTTGGCCCCAACCCCCAAGGACTTGCAAAGATTTAGGAATGCAAATAAAGATTAAGCCAGGCATGGTGTCCATCTGAAGATGGACTCAAATGACATTGACAGAAAGGGAATCTCTCCAGGCAGTAGCCCAAAACTTTCAAGGACTGGAGTCTAGAGGTTTCCTGTCATCTCTAGGGAGTACTGTTTACCCAAAGGAGATGAGACGTGGATGTCTGAGTCACATGACTGACATGCTGTTTCTTTTTCAGACCTGACAGTACCATGTACTGCTTATTCCCTTACTGTAGGTGGAGACAGTACAGAATCATCAACGAATGCTTCAAATAGCAAGGCAGCTTCGAGTGGAAAAAGAGAGAGAGGAATTTCTTGCACAGCAGAGGCAGGAACAAAAGAATCAGGTATCCACATAAAAAATTTATATTCTCATGATGAAAGAAATAGTTCCTCATTCAAATGTAAAGAAAAAAAAATTTCAGTATTACATAAGTTCATGTTTCCATTTACTTTGTTAACATGGTAAAATGCTCTTTTAAAATTAAAAGTTTTTTGTGACACCAACAGCAACAGTACCACCTTTTGGGTTCTGTCCTCTGTCTCTGTTTACAAACTATCTTTTGGCCTTTGCTCAGCTCATATTGTCCCAACATTACTGTAATGTATTATAATGATTTGTCCCAAGATTCACTATAATGTTGAGCAGTAAGATTAAGGTGGTGATAAAACTCCTAGAATCTCTTACGGGCTTCCTGATACTCTAAGGTATTGAGAATATCGTTTTGATTCCATTAATCACCAGAAACCCAAACCCACTGTCATGGAGTCAATCCCAACTCATAGTGACTCTAAAGGACAAACTAGAACTGCTCCAGGCTATTTCCGAGGCTACAGTCTATGAAAGCAGACTGCCACATCGTTCTTTCTTGGAGCAGCTGGTGGGTTTGAACCTCTGACCTTTTGGTTAGCAGTCAAGTGCTTTAACTGTTGGACCACCAGGGCTCCTTCCACTAATCACAGTATGCCCTAACCTTTGCTACAGTGGCAAGTAATCAAATCATTAAAAGGCTAAAATTCACACATACTCCACATTTTTAGACTTTGCCTTATAGAAAACATAATTTGGCCAGAAAGTATTACTTTTCTTACTTAAAATCTGACTAAAAATCCGGGTACACTTACACATTCAAAATACATTTCAAATCTCCATTTCCTTTAAATTATAGTTTAGATGTCTGGTTTTTTTGGAGCTTGACCTGGCATCATAATGGTTTCACTGCAGCATTGTTGCTTTGTCCACGCTCTGAATGGTTACTTAGCATCAGTTTCCAGTTTTTTGTGTTGTTGTTAGGTGCCTTACAGTCAGTTCCAATTCATAGCAACCCTGTGTACAACAGAACAAAACACCGCCAGATCCTGCACTATCCTCACACTCATTACTGTATTTGAGCCCATCATTGCAGCCATTGTCTCAATCCATCACGTTGAGGGTTTTCTTTTTTTTCCACTTACTTTCTGCTTTACCAAACATGATGTCCTTCTCTAGGGGCTTGTCACTCCTGATAACATGTCCAAAGTACCTGAGATAAAGTCTTGCCATCCTGACTTCTAAGGAGTATTTTGGCTGTACTTCTTCCAAGACAGATTTGTTCATTCCTCTGGCAGTACCTGGTATATTCAGTATTCTTTGCCAACACCATCATTCAAAGGCATAATTTATTCTTCAATCTTCCCTATACATTGTCCAGCTCTTACATGCATATGAGGCAATTGAAAATACTGTAACTTGGGTCAGTTGCACCTTAGTTCACAAGGTGACATCTTTGCTTTCAAACACTTCAAAGAGGTCTTTTGCACCAGATTTGCCCAGTGCAGTTTGTCATTTGATTTCTTGACTGCTTCTTCCATGGGCATTGATTATGGATCCAAGTAAAATGAAATCCTTGACAACTTCAATCATTTCTCCAGTTGTGAGGACTTTTATTTTCTTTATGTTGAGGTGCAAGCTATACTGAAGGCTGTAGTCTTTGATCTTCATCACTAAGTGCTTCAAGTCCTCTTTGCTTTCAGCAAGCCAGATTGTGTCATCTGCATATCTCAGGTTAAGGTTGTTAGTAAGTCTTCCTTTAGTCCTGGTGCCACGTTCTTCATATAGTCCAGCCTGTTAGATTATTAGCTCAGCACACAGATTGAATAAGTATAGTGATCACACCTTTCCTGATTTGAAGCCATACAGTATTCCTTTGCCACTTCATTGTGCAGTTTCCGCATGAGTACATTGAAGTGTTTTGGAATTCCCGTTCTTTGCATTGTTTATCCATAATTTGTTAATCAGCCACGTAGTTGGATGCCTTTGCATAGTCAATAAAACACAGGTAAATATCTTTCTGGTATTCTGTGATTTCACCCAAGATCCATCTGACAGCAGCAGTGATACCCCTTGTTCCTTGTCCTCTTCTGAATCTAGCTTGAATTTCTGGCCGTTGCTGTCTATGTACTGCTGTAACCATTTTAGAATTCTCTTCAGCAAAATTTACTTGTATGTGATAATAACATTGTTCAACAATTTCAGCATTCTGTGGGATCACCCTTTCTTTGAAATGGGCACAAATATGGATCTCTTCCAATCAGTTGTCAAGGTAACTGCCTTCCAGATTTCTTGGCATAGACAAGTGAGCACTTCCAGTATTGTATCCATTTGTTGAAAGATCTCAATTGGTGTTCCATCAATTTTTGGAACCTTGTTTTTCTCAAATGCCTTCAGTGCAGCTTGGACTTCCTTCTTCAGTACCGTTAATTCTTGATCGTATGCTACTTACTGAAATGGCTGAACGTTGACCTGTTCTTTTTGGTACAGTGACTGTATGTTCCTTTCATCTTCTTTTGATGCTTCCTTCTTACATCATTCAATATTTTGCCAGTAAAATCCTTCAGTATTGCAACTTGAGGCTTGAGTTTTTTCTTTGGTTCTTTCAGCTTGAGAAATACCGAGCGTGTTCTTCCCCTTTTGGTTTGTAACTCCAGACCTTTGCACTTTTTATTGTACTTTACTTTGTCTTCTCAAGCCACCCTTTGTAATCTTCTATTCAGCTCTTTTATATCATCATTTCTCCCATTTGCTTTAGCTGTGCTGTGTTCAAGATCAAGTTTCAGAGTCTCTTCTGACATTCATCTGGTCTTTTCTTTCTTTCCTGTCTTTTAATGACCATTTGCTTTCTTCATGTATGTCTTCTTGCAACTTGTCTCATCTTCAGTCATTAGTGTTCAGTATATAAAACCTATTTTTTAAAGCAAAACAAAACTTTCTATTGTGATTTGAGTGAAACTTTACAAAGCGAATTGGTTTTCTGTTCCATGATTCATACATGTTTTGATTTATGACATTGACTGCAATCCCCACAGTGTGACAGCACTCTTCCCACCTCCTCCCTGTGCTTATTGTTTCCATTGGCTCTTCTCTTTCCTTCCTGCCTTCCTGCAAATGCTGCCATTTTGATCACATGTAGTTGGTTGTTGTAGGGAGTGTGTGTCTCCCTGGTGTTACTATTCACCTGCATCAAACCTGTTCTTGAGATGGTCTCTGAATTCAGGTGGGATAAACTCTTGGCTTGTAGTTCAGCTCTCATGGACCTGCTTTCATTTTCTACAGTTTCAGCTTGACCTTGCATATGAGCAACTGATGACCTGTTCCTCTGTCAGCCCCTGGCTGTGTTCTGACTGATACTGAGTTTCTCTGTTGCCTCTTTCCACAGATGTAGTTGATCTGATTCCTCTGTATCACATCTGATGAGGTCCATGTGTATAGTGACCATTTATATTGTTGAAAAAAAGGTATTTCCAGTGAATAGATCATTGGTCTTGCAAAATTCTTACATGTTCTCTGATGTCATTTTTATCACCGTGGCCATGTTTTCCAGCTACCAATTCTTCTTTGTTTCCAGTTTTCACATTCCAGTTACAAGTAATTATTAATGTTTCTTGATTGTATGTTTAGTTAATATCAGACTTAAGAAGTTGGTAAAAATCTTCAATTTCTTCATCTGTGGCATTAGTGGTTGGTGCTTAAATTTGAATGATAATCATATTAACTAATCATCCTTGTAGGTATTTGGATATCCCTGACAGGATTGTACTTCACGATAGACCTTGAAATGTTCTTTTTGTCATTAAATGTGACACTGTTCTTAATTCAATTTGTCATTCCCAGCATAGCAGACCATATAATGGTCTGATTCAAAATGGCCAATATCAGTCCATTTCAGCTCACTAATGCCTAGGATATTGATTTTCAACTGTTGCATTTTATTTTTGACAACTTCCAGTTTTCCTCGATTCATGCTTCATGATTGAGACATCGTTTATGTGGGTGTTAATAGTCCTTTGATTAAAATCACGTTACATAATAAGAAAACCCTGTGCATATGTTTCTTTAACAAGTATTTTCTTTTGATCACCAAATTAGACAAATAACTAAAGAAAAAATTTCTGAAAGATTTTTTTAAAAAAATGTTTTTACATGAAATGGTATTGAAAGAGCCAATTATATTTTGGGTTGAACAAAATATATGTTTATTTTTAGTTCTTTTTCTTTTTTATCACAAGAATTACGTATATTTCATTGCTTGCCTGTGTGAGTGGTAGGTTTCAGTAGACTAACAAAGTAACGGGTCTAACTGTATTTTAAAGCTGTTTCATGCAGTGCAGAGACTGCAAAGAGTAGAAAACCAGCTGAAGAGTATGCGCCATGCAGCAGCAGATGCAAAGCCAGAAAGTAAGTGATACAGGTGATTGGGAGAGACGAGCTTTCTTTGATTGTGTTATGTAAGTTTAAATCATGAGTCTTCCTGAAAGCAGTCAATTAATGGAAATTAATTAGAGTCAAGTGATATCACAATTTGGAACACTGTTCCCTAGCTAGTGAATGAGTGTCCTAATGAAGCCATCCTTGGGTTTTCACCTAGAGATTTTAAATTCCTGTCCAGCTTTTTAGCCAGAGGGTGAAGATGATAATAACCACAGTGGAGGAGGCCCTCTGGTGTGTGAGTGTATAAAGTACTTAGGATGGAAGTTGTGAAAAATAGATGGAAAAAAGTGAATCATTGCTTTAGAGGCAGGGTTATAAGGAAAATGAATAAAACCCTGGACTCTTAAAATGGAATGTTTTCTGTATTTTGGTTTGTGAAATAGCAGTACTAATGATGTGGCCATTCATGGCTCTCTTCACACAGCAGCTTTACACAGAGGATAAACTGTTTTAATGTTGCAGATTTTACCAACAAACCCATCCTCGGCGTTGTAAAAGTGTTTTTGCTGATCAGATGGGAGACCACGTAAACTGGAAGAGTACTGCAAAGCTCTCGTTTATATTGGAGAAATACTACAATGTAAATATCCCACTGAGAGAGTTAGTTAGTTTATCTTTCTGTAGTATTCCATGAAATACTATACTGTAAGATATAATAGAATGATAAGGACAGGCAATTGCAAGCGCTGGCGAGAATGTGGAGAAACTGGAACCATCATATATTGCTGGTGGGAATATAAAATGGTGTCGCTGTTTGAAAACAGTCTGGCAGTTCCTCAAAATGTTAAACATTTGATCCAGCAATTCCATTCCTAAGTATTTTACCCAGGAGAAATGAAAACATTTGTCCATACAAAAACTTGTATGTTTGTAGTGTTATTGTATTATTCCCAATAAGCAAAAAGTGGAAACAACCTAGATGTCCCTCAACTGATGAATGGATAAACTAGAGACAGTATGGATATACATACAGTGGAATATTCTTCAGGCATTCAAAAGGAATTAAATCCTCATACATGCTGCAACATGGAGGAACCTCAAAAACATTATGGAAGTGAAAGAGGCCAGTCACAGAGGACCCTCGTATTGTATGATATCCAGAATAGGCATATCTGCAGGAACAGGAGTCGGATCAGTGGTGGCCTAAGGAAGAGGGCGAGAAGGAAGTGGGGTGAAGGAAGTGGGAATGACTGCTAATGGGGACAGGGTTTCTTTTGGGGATGAGGAAATGTTCGAAAATTAGAATATGGCAGTGATTGCGCATGGGGTCACCAGGAGTCAGCATCGACTCCACAGCAGCTGACGACAGCAGCAGTAGTTGCACAACTAAATACAATCAAACTGTTGAATCGTACACTTTAAATGGATGAATTTTATGGCATGTAAAGTACATTTCAAAGCTGTTAAAAGAGATCATACAGTATTTCCTTGATTTTGGACACATATTTTCTCCATTACAATTATTTTGCAATTGGGATAAATCTTAAAATTTGTATGTACATTTAGCAGGGTATTTGTAATTTTATTGGTTTGTAATTTAGTCTTATTATTAATGGCATCTTAGAATCAAGGAAATAGGGTATATTTAACACACATTTAAGAAGGCAGTGCTGTGCTCCATTGTGTGGGGCACATCTTCACCATGCATCTCAGTTGCTCACTGAAAAGTGCGGGTTCAAGTCCCCCCAGAGGTGCCTCACAAGGAGAACCAGGCAGTCTGCTTCCAAAAAGTGTGCCGCTGAAAGCCCTGTGAAGAACCAGAGGGTGCCTGACTGTCATTACTGAACATTTTGATCAAAGATTCCATAAAAAAAAAATCCTGATTAAAAGAGGGGAAAAGCACAGAACAGAACTCAAATTCTCATGGGCTCTAGACTTTCTGGAGCCATGAAGGATAGATAAACCCCTGAAACTATTGCCATAAGATTAATCTTTAAACCATAAGCCAAAAATACCCTCTGAAATCTTAAAACTGATCAAGAGTTTAACTTAACTATAGGCGTACATCGAAGATATTGCAGGTTTGGTTCCAGACCATGGCAGTAAAGCAAATATCACGATAAAATGGGTCACACAAATTTTCTAATTTCCCAGTGTATATAAAAGTTATGTTTACAATATCCTGTAGTCTCTTTTTTAAAAAAATTTTTATTGTGATTCGGGTGAAAGTTTACAGAGTAAATTCACTTTCCATACAGCAGCTCACATACACTTTGTATCATGACATTGACTACAATTTATCACAGTGCAATAGTTCCCCTCCCACTCCCTCCCCATAGTTACTTCTTCCCTGTGTCCATCCCTCTATGTCCTCCTGCCCCCTGAGCTGTCTCCCTGTGCATACACAGCCCTTCTATTCTTTCATGATTGATCTCTCCAAGGAGTGTATCTGCCTATTGTAAATGTTCAGCTCATATGCCTGTCTTTTGTTTGGCTGGAAGCCACAGGAGTGGGTTCAATTCCAGACCTAAAGGGCAACTAGGGGCCATAGTCTCAGTGGTTCCACCAGGCTCTATCAGACCAGCAAATCTGGTCCGTTTTTTTTTTTAGTTTTGAATTTTGTTCCACATTGTTCTCCCTCTCTATCCAGGATCTCCTATAGAGATCCCCCTCTGAGTGGTTGACAGTGGTAGCCAGGCACCATCTGGTTCTTCTGGTCTCATAGTCATAAAGCCTGAGGATCGCATGGTGTACCAGTCCCTTGAACTAATTGTTTCCATGTGTCTTTGGTAAACATCCTGTAGTCTCTTAAGTGTGCAGTAACATTATGAAAAGGTTACTGTGAGAATGGCCAAAATGTGGTATAAAGGCACAACGTGAGCACATGCTTTTGGAAAAATGGTGCCTCTGTTGACTTGCTCACCAGAAGGTTGCCACAAACCTTCAATTTGTAAAAATTCACTATCTGTAAAGCACAATAAAACAAATGTTTTACTACATGCCTGTAAAAAAAAAAAAAAAAAAGGTCTGCTTTGAGCATTATTCTCTTTTAAAAACCATCTATGCAGCATCAAATTGATGATAGCAACTCAAAAGACTAGATAGGAACCTTAGAGGGCAGTGAGTTTATGCTCATGAGGGAGGAACAGCAGCAAAGGAGGATGAGAATGGTGGCACAACTCAGAGTGTAGTCACTGTCACTGACTTGTACACGTGGGAAAAAATCACACCAACCATGGAGTACAGTTCTGCTCTGACACAAAGTTGCCACCAATCAGAACGGACTAGACCACAACTGGTTTTTTGTTTTGTTTTGTTTTTAATATTTTAACTCTGGTAACTAAACAGAATATCCAAGGATATTTATAGTATTAGAAACATTGCACTTTTTATTTGAATTGATAGACTTCATTTTGCTTTGGCTTTCACTTCTAGCCTAATTAAAAATTCTTTGAGCCAGGAAATACATAATCATTTATTTAGTAATAAAGTGAACAAATAAGGTTATTCTGTTTTGACATCTCTTAGGGTATTGGCTTAAAAATTAATGTAAATATTGTGTGGAAAATAGATGCTGTTAAACAATACCACCAATTGTACTGTTCAGTAGTAGTAGAACTGACCCAAAGTCAGTGGTCCACTTATTTATTGGTATCTGCACGCCAGGTACTGTGCTAAGCACTGGGAATCAAAAGCAAACACATTTCTGTTAAAGTGATCAGTGATAGAGGGCTGTCATGAGGTGGACAGTTAACAGTGCAGTGTGATAACTGCACCGCTGGGTCTCATCACAGGATTCCGCGAGAACAGAGCAGAGGCCCCAGACAGATGCCCAGTCAGATGGCTTCCTGCACAACTAGCACTGGAGTTGAGTTCCGGTTGGAAAGGTGGAGAAGAAGTGGAAGGGCATTCCGTGCAAAGGCACAGTGGGCCGAGGAGCAAATGATGCCTGAAGAAGTGGAGATGAATGTGTAGGCTGCTTTTGACTGCTTGTCTTTGTGAGGAAGGTGCATGTAAATGAGATCAGTACTATGTCTAGATGGAAGGAGGTAGTGGTGGTGGTGTTTACAGGCTGGAGGAAAGAGGCTGGAGATTTGAAGATTCTGGAAGAAAAGATGAGAATTGACAACTCCTCCTGTGTGCTCCCGTTGTACTCTATGCCTTGCATGGAATGTTCTACAATTAATACTTATCACAGTCTGTTAATCTTGGCATTATCTGACTCTGCTAAACTAAACTCTACTAAACTTTATTGAAAGTATCCACCAAGTCATTGCTGGTCTTTGTATTTCCAGGCCCTAAACCACCTAATCAAACCCACTGCCATCAAGTTGATTCTGACTCAAAGTGACCCCCTTTGGGTTTCCAAGGCAATAAATCTTTATGGAAGTAGATTGCCCTATCTTCCTTCTGCAGAGCAGCTGGTGGGTTTGAACTGCCAACCTTCTGGTTAGCAGTCAAATGCCTTAGGCACTGGGCTACCAGAGCTCCTTTTCCAGGCCCTATCACACTAAATTATATACAGCAGACATTCAGTGAATGTTCTTTTGAGGGAAGAATGAAGAGCTATTTAAGGAGTTGGAGTGGGAGGGTAGAGATAATCCTGAATAAGAAGAAAATAATGTTTCCTGCAGGTAGCAGGAGAAGTAACTAAGAAGAAATGACTGGAAATACTGATAAAAATAAGAGATTAGGTGTGTGATATGTGTATTTTGTGGCTGGACAAGGCAGTAGGGACAAGAGAGTGAATGAGTTGACATCTTTCTAGGAAGTGGGAAACAGTAAGAAGGATTGTGTTCAGCAGCTGAGGAAAGGTATATTAAATAGGTGTTTAATTGATGCAGGTTATTTGGTTTAATAAGGTGTGTCTATTTTTTTAATGACAAAAAAATGGCTTATAAAAAGTGTATTTCTACTTAAAGAACATGAAATGTATTTTTAACAGAATGGCAACCATCTGAAATCAGGATAGTCTAAACCATTACTGGGGTTAATCCATCCTTATGATGTACACATACATGAAAGAAGCCACTCAGTGATGGTAGGATCGATGAGATGTTTTTAGAGGGTTTTTAATTAATAAGTGTGTTGTGATCTTAATGATCCTACAGTTAATTTCACCAGGGTTTCTAAAAACGACACAAAATGGGGAAAGATTTTTTTTTTTTTTACAAAGAAACAAAAAATATAAGTTAAATTCTTTAGGAGAAGAGTTTTAAAATTTGATGGGAACTCTTTTTATGATTTTTTAAACAGCTTTATTGTGATGAAATTGACATACAATAAAGTACACATACTTCAAGTGTACCAGTGATAAGGTTTGATGAAGGTGTGCATTGGGAAAGCCATCACTACTCACAATAGTGAACAGAGCCACCACTCCAAATGTGTCTTGTGTCCTTGTGTAATTTTTCATACCTGCCCCACTCTGTCCCCCAACCATCCTCAGGCAACCACTGACTGACAAGCTTTTGATCACTGTAAGTTAGCATTTTCCAAAGTTGAGAGCTTTCCTTTTTATAGAAAAAATAGTATTTGGTAATTTAAAATCTTTAAGGGCATTTTAGGCTTTGATTTTGTGCATTTCTGGTGATGTGTGGCATGTTTAAGAACTTGGAGATTCAGAAGCTTACAATCTAATAGCCAAAGAAGGCAGGAAGTAGATTGAATTGGAGCCACATCGAATCACTGCCTAATAGTACCATGAGTCACTACTTTCCTTCCCTCCGGATTCTGAGAAAAAAGGAAGGAGTTGAAGAGATGAGTGAAAAACTTGTAGGTTTTTACATAGTTAATATATGGTTAGCACAAAGAACTAAAAATAATTTTAAAGTTTTGGACCAGATTTATTATGCAGTTTACGTGTGTAGATTACTTAAACCGGAAACCCAGTGTTTTAAAAGTCAAACTAGAATTTGTAAAAGGGTAATGGAAAGATCTGAAATAAACTTTGTAAAGCACTTTAGGCTGGGAATTTATAACAAAACCATTATTCACTGAAATTCTGTGTGTGTGTGTAACTAGGTGCACTTTGCCAAAATCAGAAAACTATTAAATCTTAAAAATGTAAGTTGCCACTTAGCTGTAAACTAAGAGTTTATGAAATCAAAACTGCTACAACAAGGAAAGCCTGTGACATTTGTGAATGCAGGTAGTTTCTCTTTTTCAAGTTTTAACTTGTAGCTTTAGTAATATTTTCTCAAGCTTGAATCTCACAGATTATAATGTATTACCATTTATGAGGTTTCTGACTAGGAACATAAATTGTATCAGAAATATTATTTAGAAAAATAAATGATTACTTTCTTCTGTGAGAGAGAGCCTCGGTTTGATTTCATTTGAGTGTTGTCATTTATCTCATGGATTTCTTGAATAATTAGAAGGCAAATTATGACCCAAACCTATATCTGCCCTGCAAATGTTATTTTTGCATATTGTGGGGTACTAAAGAATTATATTATAATTTTGAAAAATCCTATCACTTTTTCCTACAATTATTTAAATATTCTTCCATAGAAATTACTTAATTTGCTTCTTTATTGTTCTGACTACCATCAAAAGATTTCATTGGCCTGTCTTTTATTTGCTGTACTATTCTAAATATTGTATGGAATGCTTTAAACAGATATGCCTTATTTATTATATTCAAAACAGATGTAGAGAAAATCATGATACCCTACTCTCTTTGGCTGAATATTCATTGAATTTATTTTTAAAGGCTTAATGAAAAGGCTGGAGGAGGAGATAAAGTTTAATTCATACATGGTATCTGAAAAATTTCCTAAAGAATTAGAGAACAAGAAAAAAGAATTGCATTTTTTACAAAAAGTGGTTTCAGAGCCGGCTATGGGCCATTCTGACCTTCTTGAACTTGAATCTAAGGTAAGTGGCAGTCATCTGCTTTTTATACTCCCAGTTTTATTTAATCCCCAGTCCTGTGAAAACTACATGAACTGCCTTCTATAGTGGCCCACTTTTGACTCTAACTTGTGCAAGAGTGACAGCTCTCTTTATGAGTTGGTAAACGCCTAATAGTCAGCTGATGAGGAAACTGAGTAACTCGGACATGTAAATTAATGCATATGAATTGATTCATAGGTTAAATATCTGTATTTTAATCATTTAAATGGCAAATTTAAAAATATTTTAAATATTAATGTTTTTCAAAAATAATAATAGAGCAATTTTGTGTTTAAAGCTTTTATCTTTTTTTTTTTATTAGCCTTTTATACCCACTTTAGAATTACTAAAGGAGCTCTGGTAGCATAGTGGCTAAAGCACTTGACTGCTAACCAGAAGGCTGGCGGTTCAAACCCACACCAGGCACTCCTCGGAAGGAAGGTTGGGCAATCCTACTTCCGTAGTGATACTGCCTCGGAAACCCAAGGAGGGGTCGCTATGAGTCGGGGCCGACTCGACGGCACATAACAACAACAACAACAGAATTACTAAACTTTGTTGTAACGTTCACTGAAATCTGGTGTCATAACATTTTTGTTTCCTGGAATTAAAGCCGTAATCTAACATATATATTTGTTAAATAGTTTGAAAATTGATTGAAAGGTTTTGACTTCCCAGTTCTTTAATGTGCTTAATATGTACTTAATAGCCACTACAATTAAATACATAATCCTGACCATTTTACTCTTAATTTACTTAGAGAAATTAGGAGCTCTGGTGGCACAGTGGTTAAGCACTCAGTTGCTAACTGAAAGGTCAGCAGTTTGAACCCACCAGCTACTCCATGGGAGAAAGATGTGGCAGTCCACTTCCGTAAAGATTATAGCCTTGGAAACCTATGGGGCAGTTCTGCTTTGTCCTACATGGTTGCTAGGTTGCTGTGAGTTGTAATCAACTCAGTATCAATGGCTTTTATTTTTATTTTTTAAAAAAGAAAATATTTGCCTAAGTCAGATTTGGCTTGAATTTAATGTCATGGAATTATGTCTTGTAAAAGAGAACCCTAGTCTTTTAAAGGATAGTTATGCTGAAAGCCATGTAATTTTTAAAATTATTATTTGTCAAAGCCTGAATGTTTCTTTTGGCTTTAGGCAGTTTTATTTTATTACATTTTGTAAAGGATTAGCTGAGTGACCACGATAAATGACAATGTAAAATAATAATTCATTGGAACAGGAAGGGGTTTTAGATGTTATCCCTGTCTACTCTTGGCTGGGCTCATGAGTTCCAGACATGTAAGTATTTTATGCAAAATATAAATTGTTTCTAAAAGTAGTCGTAACAACAAGCTCGATTAAAAACTCTAAATTCAGAGTTTGGCCTTGGCCAGATGTCATTTAGTTTGTATAAGCATTGGCAGGGTATTAACATTTTTCACTTTCATACTGTTTTAGATAAATGAAATAAACACAGAAATAAACCAGCTAATTGAAAAGAAAATGATGAGGAGTGAGCCAATTGAAGGCAAACTCTCACTCTATCGCCAACAGGTAGGACTATGACTTCAGCCCATGTATTTAGATCTATGATCTTACTGATGTGTTATCTATAGCCTTAAAAGAGAGAAGGAAGTATAACAAATAAAGGCTCTCTGTCATTGCTAATCTCCAGATTATAGTAAAGAATTTGTAGAAAAGCCACAAAAGACCTATGTTCAAGTTTGAAATGCAATACATCTGATAATGCTTAGTTTCCTTAGTTACTGCCAACTCTGGTGATAAAGATGTTTGTGTTTATATCTGAGTGTGGAATTTCGTTTTTAAAGTGAAAGTTTACTTTGTTGTAAGGGAGCTCTGGTGGTCCAGCAGGTAAGGCATTTGGCTGCTAACCAGAAGGTTAGTAGTTCAAACCCACCAGCTACTCTACGGGAGGAAGATGAGGCAATCTACTTCCATAAAAATTGGAAACCCTGAGTCAGAATCGACTCAGTAGCAGTGGGTTTGTTTTGGCTTGTTACCTTGTCACCATGTGTGACAGAGTGGAACTGCTCCATAGAGTTCTCAAGGCTACAAGCCTTCAGAAGCAGCTTGTCTCACCTGTCTCCAAGGTACCTCTGGGTGGGTTTAAACCACGAACCATTGGCTAGAAATCAGGTGCTTAACCATTCGCTCCACCCAGAGATTCCATAGCTTACCTTGAACCAAAAACAACCAAATCCATTGCCATCAAGTTGATTTTGAGTCATAGTGACTCCCTTTAGGTTTTTAGTTTAGTTTAAAACTATTGGAGTTGCATTACATTTATCAATGAATTCAGAACTTTACATTTTTATGGTGTTGAATCTTCCTATCTAAGAACATGCTTTATCTTTCTGTTTGTTCAAGTTTACCTTGTGTCTTTTAGGAATATTTAATACTTTTCCTCATAAAAACTTGGAACTTTTCTTATGATATTTATGCATGCATATTTTGTTTTCCTTTTTACTTGTATAAATGAGATATTTTCTTTCCTTGTATCTTGCAACTGATTTTGTTCTTCTGTGAAAACTATTGATTTTTATTGCAGTTTTTATTGGTTCTTTTAGTTTTTTAGATGTATACTTGTATAATCTGAAAATTCCCATTTTTCCTTTTAAATTCATAGTCTTTTAATTGCTTTCTCTTGTCTAGTGGTATGGTGTGATAGATTGCTTTAATATGATCTTGTAACTCCCACCAAATGATTGGGTGGGACTATGCAAATAAGGTGCTTGTGGCCCATCAAGGGGATTGGTCAGCTTGCTGATAATGCAGATAAGGTGTTGGAACCCCAGTGATGGAGTTAGTTTTGTCATTTGCTGGGCTTAAAAGAAAGGCAGTCTTAGAGCAGAAGGGGGCACTTCACTACCGTTAAGAAGAGCTGGGAGTAAAGTGCATCCTTTTTAGGGTCTTTGCACTGAGAACCTCCTAGATCCAGAAGACAGAGCAAAAGAACTATAATGCCGGAAATGGCACAGGACAGCAATGAGCACCGTCAGAGAAATAGCAGTGGCAGGCAGTGCATCCAGGAGACCAGCACGAGACAGCGCAGTGAGCGTCCCAGCCCACAGAGCAAGGTGGTGACAGTGAGTTTGCTGACTCACAGAACAAAACAGCTAAGCACCTTTGGGCAGGTGATTCCTGGCAGTGTAGGGTGCCTCCAGACCTTTGTCCACAGAACTAAGCTTGTCAACCTATGGAGTTGAAAGCTGAACACCTCTGGGCTGAGGCTTATTGCCTGAGTGGCGTGTCCTGGGGCTATTATTAGCAGAGCTAAAGAGCTTTCTAATACTTGTCCACGTAGGGCAGAGTGCAGGTTGAGGGGCTGAGAGGCTGAGGGCCAGTGAGAAGCCTGTCTACAGGCGCAGCTAAGAAGAGGCTGTAATGATCAAAGAACTGTATCTTGGGTCAATCCCAGTCCTGCATTATAACCTGTTTCTTCCCTAATAAGCACCATAATGATGAGTATCGTCATTATAGCAAGTTATCGAACCCAGCAGAGTAAAGAGTGCCACTGGAAAAGATGGCTAGTGTTAGAATTAGTAAAAACATTACCAAGAAGGTGTATCTGACCCTCTGCCTCGTAAGAATCAGCCTTGGGCTGATGTGGATGGTAGTTCTGTCCTCTTCCTCATGAAGTTAGAGGAGGTGAGATGACTCTGGTGGCATTTTTACAAATGGTATTCCTTCAATACAATATTAAACTAATAATGGAGGTAGAGGGCATCCTGTTCCTCGTTCCTGCCTTTAGTGGGAAATGCCCTCGTGTTTCTCTGTTAAGTAAGAATCTGGCTTGGAGGCTGAAGTTTACATTTATTTTAGCAGGTTAAAAAAGTACGCCATCAATTCCTATAACATTTTGATATTGCGTTGTTCCTTCTTTATTTCTTACCAGGAATACTTTGGTAGACACATTCTCTCATCAACTGTCTTTTTAAAACTGAAGAGTCTTAAAGGACAATAGAATTGTTTAGAATTTACACTAGAGATTCCCTTTCTCCTGTCAAATTTACGTGAAGAAAATATTTGTACTATTTAACTTAACAAAAACAGTTTAACTACACTGTTAGATAGGTAGAGACAAGTAATGATTTCGGTGAAGAGAAGGGCAATGTACCAAATGTGAGTGATCAATATGGTGGCCTTCAGGAAGAGGAAGACATAGAGAGGTGCACAGGAGGTACAGATAACAAAGGTGAACCCTTTTGCACATACAATACTGCATTGACAGTGAAGGCAAACATAGGTATATGGGTGGATAGATGGGTGGACAGGCTAAACTATTAGGTACGTCTGTGCAGGGGGGAGTGTATCCAAGACCATGTATAGGGTTGGCAGACAATGATTCTACAAGTATATTGCTCTATTCTGTAAGAATTCCCAGGTGTATAGTAGACCTAACAAGGGGCAAGGTTGTAGTCACTTCTTGGCCACAGCCAGCTACCGAGAGGGAGTGAATAATTGGACCTCTGGGCTTGGGACCATAGTCACAGGGGACAGCAAGCTCAATTGGCATAACACACTACACAAAACACTGTTCTATATCCTACTTTGTCAAGTAGCAACTGGGATCTTGAAAGCATTCAAGCGTCCATCTAGATGCAATGATGGGTCTCTCTTCATCCAGAGCAAAGAAGAATGAAGAAAACCAAAGATTGTGATTTGGGTGAAAGTCTACAGAGCAAATTCACTTTCCATACAGCAGTTCACATACACTTTGTCTTATGACACTGACAATTTACAAGAATGCAACAGCTCCCCTCCCACTTCCTCCTGATAGTTATTTCTTCCCTGTGTCCTTCCCTCCCATGCACACCTGCCCCCTGAGCTGTCTCCCTGTGCATACACAGCCCATCTATTCTCCCATGACTGTTCTCTCCAAAGAGTGTATCTACCTAATGTAAATGTTCAGCTCATATGCCTGCCTTTTGTTTGGCTGGAAGCCACAGGAGTGGGTTCAATTTCAGACCTGAAGGGCAGCTAGGGGCCATAGTCTCAGTGGTTCCATCAGGTTCTATCAGACCAACAAACTTGGTCTCTTTTTTTTCTTTTACTTTCATATTTAATGACCAATTAGGCCTCCATCATTTCTCGTAAAAAAGAAGCCAAAGCTGAGGAACTTCAGGAGGCAAAGGAGAAGTTAGCCAGCCTAGAGAGAGAGGCATCTGTGAAGACAAGCCAGACCCGGGAGTTTGATGGCGCAGAAGTTTTGAAGGGAGATGAGGTAAGTTGAGATATCTCAGAGGACCAGGATGTGAGTACTGCCTTTGTTTGAAAACATTAGTATTTGGCTTTCCTAGTTTGGAGTCAGTAATGGGAAGTTAATCTTATGTCATAAGACTGACTGACAGAAAACCAAAGAAGAAAAGTCTTTTTGCAAAAATATTGTTATTCTTGAGATAAAATGACAAAGATCTTAGGGATTTTATGAGATAATGTTTC